CGGCCGCCTTAGGGCAGAAGAGCAGCCATTGTTAGGTGGGAGCTGGGGCTGAACGCTTCTGCTCACATGCAAATGCAGCCGTGGGAGGATGCGTGGTATCTGGGGAACAAGGACCGCGTCCTTCGTGGAGCCCCGAGGGGAGCGCTGGGTGCCTCCGGGGGGAGCTGGGCAGGGCTGACGGGGGGGCAGGGGCATCTTTTGCATGTCAATGCCCCGCATTCCGCGGGGGGCGGGGAAGGGCAGAGAAGAATCTTCTCTATTCAGGGCTCGGGACCACACAGCGAGTATCCTTAACCTTTTTGTATTTAATCAGTCAATCTACTTTAGACTTGAGGGATGTATCAGCTCCCCTTTCTTTCAGAAAGGTAACCTCGACACCCTTCTTCCTGATTTTTTTTTTTTTTTTTTAAATTCCTAACACTTCTAAACTGTTTGCCCTTACCTGAAGACAGAGTCCATCCCACCTCCTACAGCGCTAGAAAAGTTACTGAAAAAGTCAGCTACTTGGACGTTACTCCAGAGGCCTTGAAAAGTAGCAAAGCCAGCTACCTTGCAGCCAAGGGCTAGTAGCAGTTCTCAAGCTTTCTTGATGGCTAGCTTTTTGGGGACACATGCTTGTACTCATTCTACAACTTGCACATTGTTTAATAAACTTACTATTTTGAGTCTGTTGGTTGTGGCTCATTTCTTCAAGCTCTTGGGGGCAAACCTGGGCCATCTACACTACCTAAAGCTCAAGTTGCTGAGAGCAGGACCTGCACCCCAGGTGGCCACGTGGAAGTGTGACCTTCCTGGTGGTGGGCTGGAGGCCAAAGTACAATGCCAGCAGCACAGGAAGATAAGGCATTATCCCAGCTCGCCCCTGGAGATTATCTGGGCAAAGTCTCAGAGTAGCTGAAATGACACAAAACAGCCAGGGAGGGGAAGCGAGGAGAGATGCAATGTTCCATGCTGGGCTTGATTATCTTATGCCTGGATTAAGTCCCAAGGCAGGATAGCTCAACCCTTCTCCTATACTCGCAATAAGTAACCAGAGGCTCCTTGCTTGTGCTGCACTCCTACAGCCTCTTGGTTTGAGCAAAAGTTTTTGAAAGCAAGAGGTGTTCCTCTAAAGTGGAAACTGCATTTTAAAAAAAAAAAAAACAAAAAAAACCACACCCACAAACCATACCCTTTTTCTTACAGCCAGGCAATTTAATGCTGAATCTGCACCCTTATACCTTCCTTTAGGACAAAGGAAAAGCAGGGAGAAGAAAACAACCAACCTCACCCAACACAAACCCCCATCCAGCTAAAGCAAGAGCATTCCCCAGCCACGGTCCCTTCAGAGCACCCACTGCCTGCCGCAACCATCGCCCTACAACCTACCCGCCCCCTTCAGCCCCCTGCCTTGCTGCACTGACAAAGGTTTAGCAGCTGTACCAGGTTTTGGCCTTGCTCTCCAGTCAGCTCTTATGCTTTTCCTGGTTTTGGCAAATGGCCTTTTGGATTTTGCACCCTGCTCACAAGAATCAGCACCCGCTCCCTCACACTAAGCCTCTGCCATCTTGCCCACACACACTCAAAAAGGGGCACAGCCTGGTTGGTTTGTTTGTTTGTTTTTTTCACAAGGGTGGCTTATACTAATGATGTACAAACTAATGCTGTCACTAATACTGCAGTGCAATGTTGAGGGCATTACTTTGTCCCTACACCACAACCTCTTGGCTCCTGTGCCCTGCTAACCCTTTCAGGCCTGCAGCACAGCTGCTAGTTTTAAGGAGGAAAGATGATTTGAAAGACACTGCTAACGCTGGGCACATGGTATTTGCACTTAACATAATAAGGGGCACCCATACCCCCATCCCTACACCTGAAGGAGCAGCTTCAGCTACAGCAAGGACCAAATTCCCAGCTGCTGCAGGGTGGTGCACTATAGCTACATCAACACAGCAAAGTTTGACAAAAGCCACCTCTTTGAGGAATACAAAACCATGGCTCTTATGTCAAAACACAGCAGCCATAGACCCAACACTGCTCAA